TAAAATGTCAGTGTCTTTAGTTATCAGAACATTTTTATTATTTAGTCTTATATAATCCTAGTTCTCTTTCAAAACTGTATTTTATGCCAGTAGTGGCAGTGCACGCCTATAGTCCCTGCTACTGGGAAAGCTGAGGCTAGTGGACCACCTAAGTTCAGGAGTTCTGAGCTTCAGTAGAGCCAGTTGGGTGCCTACAGTGTCTAGCAACAATATGGTGAGCCCTTAAGAAAAGGGGAGCCACTGGAAACTAGACTAAGTTGGAAACTGAGTGAGTCAAAGCTTCCTTGATGACGGACAGTGAGGCCAGGCCAAGGGCTACCACTGAACTTCCAGCCTGGGCAAGATAGGGAGATCCAAGCTCAAAAACAAAACCAAGAGGCAGCTAGGTGGCACACTGGATAGAGCATCGGCCTTAGGGTCAGGAGGTCCTGACTTCAAATGTGGTCTCAGACCAGCCACTTGACACTTACTAGCTGTGTGACCCTGGGCAAGCCACTTAACCCCAATTGCCTCAAACACACACACACAAATACCCTACATTTTACATAATATTATATATGATTAAATTATTATAAACTTCTAGAAAGTCATTTTGATTGAATAAGAATCCTACCATCACTAATGGCAGTTTACAGGGGGAAAGAAAGATTATTCACCTAATAATTATTTAAAAACATTCAGAAATGTGTGAAATTGTCACTGCAATAAAACAAACTAAGCATTTGCCTTCTCCTATGATTTATTCTCTATCTTACATTGCCCTTTAGCCTATAAGTTTGTTTTTCACTATTCAAATTTCTTAACACTTTTCTTAAAAAAAAAAAAAGACATTCCCTTTAAATTCATTCCACATTCTGCTGGTCTTGGTAGCAAAGAATGCATTTTTAATGTGTGAAGATGTCAGCATATACAGATGACTGATGTGAATCAGAATACATTAAAATGGCACTGTCAGTCTTCTTCCTTAAGTACCAAGCTCATAAGCATAAATTTCCTTCTTTAAAGGGAGTGTTTTAAAAATTCTCCAAAAAGGAGGAACTGAAAACTATTTAAGAGCAGGTTTTGAGAGAGGGGAGCATACTCCGAAATAAATATCAAAACTTGGACACAAGGAAAAAGAGTTTTGCACTTGGGAGACTCTCAAAGAAAGTACTTTGTTTCTTCTTTCCTACTTTCAGAAACTAGAGGAAGGGTGACCTTAACAAGTAATTTCCAATTGTAGGTTTTCATTGGTGCCAAGATGAACAGAAAGAATGTCCCACAAGATGACAAGGACCCATGTTCTGTAGGATTTTTCTATTAAATTAAAATGAATGCACCCTTCTTTCCAAGTCTTGTTCCACATATAAAAATATTAACTTGCTGGTTTCTTCCTTTTTTTATTCTCTGGTCCACCCCAGTTTCCTTTCTGAGCATGTCCCATAGCTGCTGAGGAATAAGGAAATGGAAAGTGAGTAGAACAAAGAATGGGTGCATACACTGTATCTTTTTTTTCTAATGGATACCTAAGCATAGTGGTAGAATTTGTAAAAATGTAAGTAAGTTGAGGGTTGGAAGCAGAAGGAACTTGGGATGATTCTAAGCATCCTTAAATGGAGTAGTACCACAAAATGTTCAGTGCAGACATTCATGGTTATATCAAAAAGACACAAGGAAGATACGGCTGAAGAGCTAGCAAATTAATTCTTCACTGGGATGCCCCATAAGCATCTCAAACTCAATATGCCCTGTGTTTTTTCCCCAAATCTATCCCTCCTCTATGTTTATTTCTTTCCATTGATGGCAGTGTCATCCTTCCAGTCACCCTCTTAGTACCATTATTGATTCTTCTCTCTCTCTCAACCTGTTGCTAGGTCTTATTGGTTCCAATCTTACATCTCTTCATTTACACAGTTTGTACTGTAGCTTATGATCCCATCACTTCTCACCTGGACTATTGCAGTAGCCACCAACTGGTTTCTTTAATTCCATTTTCTTCCATCTCTAATCAATTTTTCCAAATTCCCCAATCCAGCTACCGAACTGATATTTCTAAAACACAGATTTGACACTGCTCTCTCAGGAAAAAAAAACACCTTCAATGGATTCTGCTTGCTTCTAGGATAAAACACATTACTCTGTTTTGGCATTTAACACCTTCTACAATCTGAATCCCACATGTATTTCCAGATTTTTCCATATTTTTCCCCTTGCTGCACTCTCCTTTCCAGTCAAACTGGGCTGCAACCTATACCTCATTCATGGCATCCTGTCTCACTCATCTGCACCTTTGAACAAATGGTCTCTGATCTCTGGAATTCATTTCTTCCTCACCTTCACCTCATAGAATACCTAGCTTCCTTAAAACTAGGTCTTAAACTGGGGTCCATGTCCTAAGGGTTCTATGGATAGATTTATAGGAGTCCATGAACTTGGATGGAAAGAAACATTTATATCTTCATTTTCACTAACCTCTAACTGAAATTTAGCATTTCCTTCAACTATAAATTTCTTAAAAAACCATTGTTCTCAGAAGGTGTCCATGGACTTCACCAGATGGCTAATGGTGTCCAAGACACACACACAAAAAGGTTATAAACATTCCTTTAAAGTATAACTCAAATGCCATCTCCTAGACAATGGCCTTCCTGTTACCAATAGTTATTGGCTCTCTGGCTCTCTTGAAAATCTTTCGTATATATTTTGAATTTGCTTACCTATGGACATGCTGTGTCAGACTGCAAGGTCACTGAAGGAAGGGACTGCTTCATTTTTGTCTTTGTATGCCACAGACACAGTGCCTTGCACATTAAGTAAGTACTTAATTGTTGAATTAATTTGGGTAGAATTGAATTGAATGAAACAGATGCTATGGGCAACAAGGAATATAGAAGAAGAGGAATTTGCCTTGTAAAATTATTTATTTTTGTTAGAAGGAAATTATTAGCATGTAACAAAATAGATTAAACTTTAAAGTATTAAGCCTGAAGTTCACATCTCATTTTTAATGAGACTCTATTCAGCAAAGTCTCACAGAGTCACATATCTGTAGGCTATATTTGGAGAAAGCTGAGGTTCTAGACTACATAATGATGGGAGGGAGGAGGTAATTAAAATGTCCATACAAAATTCTTTAGGAAAATTTGGATGCATCCTCATTTGAGTTGTCATTTCTGAGAACACATAATAACATGCCACACACAAAAGTCACTCCCAAATTACATTATTTTGACTGAGCAGTCTTTATTTAGCACACACCATAGTTCCTGGCATATAGTAGGTTCTTAATAAATGGTTATTGCTTGATTATTTTTAACTCAGAATTAACAAATAGCTTTAAGAAATTTAGTTTCTGGTTGCTGGTATATATCTCATTTTAAATTATTGTACAAATGTTTAAAAAGTGTACTCTTTTTTTAATATACATTTATTTATTTTTAGTTTTCAACATTCACTTCCACAAGTTTTTGAGTTCCAAATTTTCACCCCACCTCCTCCCTCCCCCCCACCCCACGATGGCGTGCATTCTGAATATTCCTTCCCCTAGTCTGTCCTCTCTTCTATCTCTCTCCCCTTCTTTTATCCCCTTCACCTTCTATTTTCCTGTAGGGCAGGATAGACTTCTGTACCCCATTTCCTGTATTTCTTATTTCCCAGTACCATGTGAAAACTTTTTTTTTAAACATATGTTTTTAAAACTTTAGGTTTCAAATTTTCTCTCTTCCTCCCTCCCCACCCACCCTCATTGAAAAGGCAAGCAACTCAATATAGGTTGTACATGTACAATTATGCAAAACACGTCCATAGTAGACATGTTGTGAAAAACTAACTCTATTTCCCTTAATCCTATCCCATTTATTCTATTCTTTCTTTTGACCCTGTCCCTCCTCAGAAGTATTTATTTCTGACTATCCCCTTTCCCAGTCTTCCCTCCTCTCTATCATCCCCCTGCTCTCTTGTCCCCTTCTCCCCCTATTTTCCTGTAGGGTAAGACAGATTTCCATACCCAATTGAATGTGTATGTTATTCCCTCCTTAAGCCAAATCCTATGAGAATAAGATTCACTCATTCCCTCTCACCTTCCCCTGCTTCCCCTCCACTGTAAGAGACTTTTCTTTTCTGATTTTTTTTGTGAGATAATTTACCCCATTCTACCTCTCCCTTTCTTCTTCTCCGAATATAATCCTCTCTCATCCCTTAATTTTATTCTCCAGATATGATCCCTTAATCTTCAGCTCACCCTATGCCCTCTATCTATGTATCTACATGCACATACATATAATTTTTTTCCTCTAACTACCCTAATCCTGATAAAGGTCTCTTGAGTCATAAATATCATAAAAAGTGTACTCTTTAACTGTAACTGTGTGCCTGTAGTTTTCCCTTAGTGGCTTGGTCAATGTGATGCTAAACAAATAGACAGTTTTCTAAAAAATTAGTTAGTTACATAGATGGTTTCAAGTAGCCATATGGTTCTCTCAACCATCATCTTTGTGACTGAGTTGAGACGCCAGAGTCTTCTCAGTTTGGACAAGAAGTCTGTCCATTATCCAAATGCTTCTTTGTCGTTACAACATCAGACAATAGATTTGAATGAAATATTACCTAAATTGATTGTCTTCTGGCATCACAAAGCCCAACCAGATTAAGGTTATCATAAGCAATGACTGCCATAAGTGAAAAAAGTGTTGAAGTGAGTGGGACCTTAAAATTTAAGAGAAATTAATCTGAGTTAGCAAAAAGGAGATTAATAGGAAAAAAAGAGTATAAATGGAAATGTAGGTTGTCTGACAGCAATATCCAGATAATGGACTGAATTTTTCGATTTTATCCAAATTTGGTGGAGAAAATGTTTGCCAAATGTTCCTTACTTATCCCTCCCCACCCTCACCATGTGTCAGAACCTACCTGCAAGTTAGTTTTTAACTCTCAACTTAACTTTGCAAGCATTCAATATTAAAAAGTCAAATATTCACGTTATAAGATTCAGTAAGTAATTCACTGTTCTGTTGCTGTTACAGCTTTAGCTGCTGGAAGCTCATGAAGAATGAATTCATTTCAGCCCAGCTTTTGGAATACCACCTCTAACCCTTTGAACCTATCCCAAAGCAGAGAGTTCTCTTACCAGAGCATCAGTATGGCAGAAACAATCATCCTTCCTTCCTTGATTGGAATTCTCTGCTCCACAGGCCTAGTAGGCAATATTCTCATTGTGTTCACTATAATAAGGTATGAGAATGAATTTAAAGACTCATTTTCTTTCCTTTCTCAATCCTGTCAAGCTATGATTTCAAAGCAAGACTTTCTTCCCACAAAATTGTACTTTACATGTCTAAGCCTTTAAAATATTTCCTAAAATACTTGGCCAACTTTTCAGGCAATGAAACCTTATCAGGTGAGTGCAGCAGCTAAGACACTAGCTGATTCTCATATATGTCTTGGGAGGGCAGAATCATATTCAGTGTCTGCTGGTATGCTGGTGAATTTTTGAAGAGGTTAAAGTTGAAGCGTCTTTAATACATTAATAAATTGTTAACCTGGAGCATTATGCTACTTACCATTAAGTCTGACTCATGCCTCATTACAGCAAGGAAGTGAAGCAAAAGCTCTAGAAGGGCTATGATAGCCAATTGCAAACTGGCAAATACTACCAACCTAAGAAGTCTTTGAGTATGGACCAGGTGACAGATTGCATGTAGGAATATGCAGACCAGCATAGGTAAGTTTGAAGAGATTCATTACTGAAAGTTGGCTGCTGAGTGATGAATTTTCCGGCCCTAAAAACCATCTACTAAGGTCATGGAGAAAGATTTCAAGGAGGATGATGATCCCAGAAGTACATAAACTCTAACAGGTTTTGAAGATGGGTCACCAGAGAATTGCTCCCTATAGGAAATCCTCATCTGAGTCATAGATCAGAAAACTGAGTTGATCTCTCAGCTTTATACCCTGAAAATACACAGATGCTTTCTGTTCTCCAGAGGATAGAAGGCAACCAGATGGTTGGCTCTGCCTTTTAGTAGAAATTATCTCCATATATGCCAAACTGAGAATCTCCTGCAACTATTAAACTAATTTCTCACCATATTCCCAAACCCTCTGTTCCTAAACTACATTTGGCTCTCTTTATTCCTCTCAACTCAAAATTCAGCCAAGTATCTATAGAGTTATAATTTTTTTTAGTTTGCTCAAAAGCAACCTCAGTTCACCTCAGTAAATGTATGAGCTTAAAGTTCACTTATGCTCATTGTGATTATTAGCATCTCTTATCAAGAACCTAGTTCTGCTGCTTTCTAGCCATGTAACTATAAACAAACAACTTAAACTCTGAGTTTCCGTTTCATTTTTTGTCGTTGTTGCTGTTACTGAGTCTTTTTTCAGTTGTGTCTGACTTTTCATGGAGTTTTCTTGACAAAGATACAGGAATGGTTTTCCATTTCCTTCTTCAGCTCATTTTACAGATGAGGATACTGAGGCAAACAAGGTATCTGACTTGCCCAGGGTCACACTGCCAGTTAAGTGTCTGAGATCAGATTTGAATTCAGGTCTTCCTGACTCCAGACCTAGGATCCATACACTGCACCACCTAGATGTCCCTTCATTTCTTTAACTTGTAAATTGAGGAGGCTGTACTTTTAAGTTCCTTCCAAACTCTAAAATTCCTATCTTATCTAATCATATCTCATCCCTTTCCATCCCATCCCATCCTATTGTATCCATCTCATCCCATTTCATCCTATCCTTCTTAGTTTGAGCTTCAGTCAGAACAGAAAATGAGAAAGAGAATATGGTCTAATGGATAGAGTGCTAGACTTTGAGAATCAGGAAAACCTAGTACTAGATTTGTGATCCTGGGCAAAATACTTAATTTCTCTGCACCTGAGTTTCTTCATCTATAAAACTGAAGGAGCTGGACTGCCTGACCTTGAATGTCCTTTCCAGCTCTAGATCTATAAACCTATGAATGATTTTATTTTAACTCTCCCATAGGTATGATCTGGACCTCCTGCAACAACCATCCTCCTGTTTTCTTTGGATCTTTGCCCATGTTTAAATGTTTAGACCATGAATCTATCTAAATGATGACCTGGTTCATTTTAAGCCCTGATTTGGATCGCTGTGCAGCTAATTATATAGCTGTGGGTCATTAATAGACTTTCATTGTGAGCCTCCCCATACCAATTGACCCTGCCTTGACTGAGTCAATCAATTATATGGAAATAGCCTAAGATTTCACTTCTCCAGCCAGTCGCTGTCATTACTCAGAATGCCTTACAAGCTCAACCTGCTACTATCTCTGTAGCATTAATGTTGCTGTTATTTAGAAAGTGGTTTATCTAGACTTTCAGAAGAATTTTTAATAACATCTGAAAATGAGCATATGAAATGTCCAAGAAATGCTTGTACTCCAAATTCAGTAAAGATACATTCTGAAATGGTGCCTATAAAATGACATTTCAAAAATCAAACTTGTAGGGGCAGCTAGGTGGCACAGTCAATAGAGCACTGGCCCTGAAGTCAGGAGGACCTGAGTTTAAATCCAGCTTCAGACCAAACACTTGACACTTACTAACTGTGTGATCCTGGGCAAGTCACTTAACCCCAATTGCCTAAAAAAATCAAACTACTTTTCCATTGATTTAGATTAAAGTTAGAACTTGGAGTCCCCAGTTCTGCTGCGACTGCCACAGAGTATTACTTCTGTTAAGAGAACCTGCCTCATTAGCATTTGATGTACTATTTAATCATCAATGGTTGAAAGACCTGAGAAATTTCCTTAGAAAGGATTTGATCATACATAGCACCTGAAGTACTAACTAAAAATCCACCTTCCCAATACCAAGTGAAGGAAAGAAATCATTTCTGAAAACAGCTACATAATCAGTTCAATAATTAATAAGTGCCTATTGCAAGCACTGCATTTTGTTAGGTGACAAGATATGAAAAAAGAAAACGAATTTGAGTATCAGTGTGAAGCTCACAATCCAATTGAAAAGTCAAGATTTACACACATGAAGTAATTAGAGAACAATACAACAGAGAAAATAATGAAGTGCAAAATGAATGGTAGGGGTATTATAGCGGGAAGGCAGGAAAGCAATTGTATGCAAGGTAGAATTCATGAATGAGGTAAGATTTGAGATGGGTCTTGAAGGCTATCTAGGTAGAAAGGAAAGAGAAAGGCATTTCAGAGCATTCCAGATCAAGGAACAGTATAAGCAAATACCTGAAGGTAGACATGAGCTTGGTAGATAGGGCCTGACTATTAGATGAGCAATCTGAACTGAGCAGAGGGCATATTCAGGGGCATTTGTTGTTCATTTGTTCAGTCAGTCATGTCCAGTTTTCGTGACCCTGTGGACCACAGTGTCCATGGGGTTTTCTTGTCAAAGATACTGGAGTGGTTTGCCATTTCCTTCTCCAGTGGATTAAGGCAAACAGAGGTTAAGTGACTTGCCCAAAGTCACATAGGTAGTAAGTGCCTGAGGCCAAATTTGAATTCAGGTCATCCTGAATCTTATTTTGGAGTACAGTAAGAAATAAATAGGGCCAATTACAGTAAGCTGAAGTCAGACTGTCTTTGGTATTCTTCTACATAATTATAGACATAGTCTTGCATTTAGAACTGGAAGAAACCTTAAAAACTATTGCATCTAATGTCTTTATTTAACAGAAGAAACGGGCAAAATGATTTTCTAGGGTCATTCAATGAGTAAGTGTACATCTCTTCTCCTCTCCTAAATATGCAGTATCCTATATCTTGGTCAATTCACACATGGCCTACCTCTCTCAGGAATATTTACAGTTTTAATAGGTGTATCTTAAATACTGCAAAGATTAAACTAACTCTCCAATGGGAAAATTTCAGAATTCCCCACCATGATAGACTGATGGGGTGATAATTTTGACCCAAGGGGCTCTTCTGACATAATTCTGTCCCATCAGGACTAAGTAGCTCCCTCTTCCTGCTACCCTTAAACTGGCTCTAAAAATATGGTTGGAAGAAAGCAATGAACACAGAAAGTGAATTCTTTATTAAAAATCAATCCTGGGGGGCAGCTAGGTGGCGCAGTGGATAGAGCACCGGCCCTGGATTCAGGAGGACCTGAGTTCAAATCCGACCTCAGACACATAACACTTACTAGCTGTGTGACCCTGGGCAAGTCACTTAACCCCATTGCCTAGCCAAAAAAAAAATCAGTCCTGAACTAATGACACATAGAAGCATGATAAGTCCAAATGCAGTAAAGAATTGCTTAGCTAAAAGAATACCTGAATCCATATATTGATTTTTATTACTCTTGTTAAAAATCTCTCCTTTCTTCACCTCATCCTCATTTGATGGAGGATTCATGAAAAAAGAGCCAGCCTTTTTAGCTAAAGGAATATTAATGCAGCTTTTAAAATGAATGCTTTAATCTTCCATGTAGTACTTGAAAGCAACTTAATGCTCATCTTTTATTGCTAGGCATTTAGCTAACACTGTATTTTTACAAAGTGTTGTATTAAGCTTTTAAGGCATTCTTATTAGGCATTCTTGTTTCTGAATTTAAAAATATTAAATCTATCTAAATAAGGGAAAAGAAAATTCACATTTACGTATTATATATATAATTATGTTAGAGAGATGAAAAATAATAGACCCTAAAGTCAGATGGAAAAATTGATAAGCTGTGAACAGATGTCTATGTTTATCAAAAGAAGACTAGAAATACGTATGGAGAATTGGACCGAAATAATGATAAACTGAAGGGTCATAAGATTATAGATTAGAACTAGAAGAATCCTTAGAGGACACTGAGTTCAACTATTTACTTTACAGATGAGGAAAACAAGAGGGTATGAGAGATTGTGACTTGTCCAGGGTCACACAGCTAGTAAGGGTCTGAGGTAGGAATTTGAACCCAAGTCTTCTGCCTCTAAACCCAGCACTCCATCCAGTTTGTCATGCTACCTATCTAAAGGCAGCATGATATAGCAGGTAGAACACTAGAATCAGAAGAAACCAAGGCAGAGAGAGGAGGAAACAGGAAGACGAACTCAAATCTAACTTCAAGGGGTGTTCAAAATATACCAATGAAATTATATGTCCTTATCATTTAAGTAAAACAAAATCAACTTTTGGAAGTCAAGGTTACCAACTTGGAAGAGATTTGCAGATCTGTAGTGACATTCAAGAGCCTTGAACTTGACTCCTAATAAACAGATAAACAGGAAGTCAACTATGGGCCACATTTAGACTGTAATTCCAGCTTAAGAAACCAAAACAACTTCTCTTCATTTGTCTCTTAAACCCTTGCAATGTGTAAGATAGCTATCTATTGAAGCCTGACAGCAAGAAATGCAAAGAGGACTTGGAAAAATAAATCAAAATGTAGATTTAAGTTCTGCGTCCTATTGGGTAAGCAGATAGGGACAAGCAGCCTTTCAAACATGATTGTACTTAAACCCACCCACCCACACACACACACACACACACCTCTAAAACTCTCTTTTCACCCACAACAATGAGCAGGCACACATAATGCAAAAGACACAGGAGCTCATGGGGAATGAAACCACACCGATAAAAATGTTTCACACATAAACAGCAGGTTAGAGGATTTTCCCGTAGCTTTTGTTTTGTATGATGCCATTTGCAGTCATAAAATATTTAATGAATGGATTCCTTTGCATTTATTGCCTAGGTATATCTGAGCTGTTACATCCCTAAGGAAACGTCTTTTTTTTGTTGTTGTTCCCAGAGTCAGAATTCAAGGTTTCTGCTATGTTCACTACATCATTTAGTTTTTTTATTCTTGTAAACAAAAACAAAGTTGTTTTAAAAATAATTCTTACCATATACAATAGGATCATAGATTTAGATCCTGTAATCCTGCGCAAGTCATTTAATTTCTCAGCCCCCCCCATTCCCACTCCTCACCAACAATTCAGAAAGGAAGGAAGGAAGAAAGGAAAGAGAAAAGGAAAGAAGGAAATAAATGCATACTATGTGTCAGGCATGATGCCAAATTTACTTACAGATATTATCTTTTTTAATTCTCATAACAACCCCCCAAGGAAGGTGCTATCATTATCCCCATTTTACAATTGAAGAAATTGAGACAGACAGGTTAGGTAGCTTGTCAAAGGTCACACATCTAATAAGCGTCTGAGGCTGAATTTGAACATAGATCTTCATGACTCCAGACCCAGTATTCTGTCCATTGCCCCACTTCTGTCTTATGAGACTGTAAGTTATAGACCAGTTGCCGAAGAGCATGGGTAGAGGATATTTCCACACAAGGAGGTCTCTATACCTGCAAAATCACAGGTCTAGATCCCCCCCAAAATGTACAAAATTCCTGCACCTAGCCAGACCATAAGGCAGGAGCCAGATCTATTTTGATGGCACTGAGTGCTTCAAATAGTGGTATTTAATAATAATTCATTAGTAATAAATAATAATAATTCAACAATAAGGAAACACACATTCATAAATCATCCAATATGTGAAAAAAATGCTAAGCTAGGTAATAAGGATAAAAAAGATGAAGGCAGTGGAGTGAAATATAGAGAGTATACATTCTGGAGAAAATGGATTTTATTTCCATCACAGACACTAGTTGTGTGAACTGGCCAAGTCACTATAACTCGGAACCTCAGTTTCCTCAGCGTTAGCTCACATGGCTAACTGGACCCAGCATTCTAAGCTTAGGGGCAGCTAGGTGGCTCAAGGGATAAAGTGCCAGGCCTGGAGTCAGGAAAACTCCTCTTCCTGAGTTCAAATCTGGCCTGAGACACTTACTAACTGTGTGACCCTGAGTAAGTCACTTAATACTTGTAAAATGAGCTGGAAAAGGAAATGGCAAACCATTCCAGTACCTTTGCCAAGAAAACCCAAAAATGAGGTCACAAAGAGTTGGACATGACTGAAAGTGACTGAACTACAATAACAACAATTCTAAACTTAGGTATCTATGGAAGATGGTAAGGGGAATAGAGGCTCAGCCCCAGTAGTTGTGAAAACTGAGAATCAAGTTCTGCTTTCACATACTCTGACCACAGGCAAGTTATACTTAATGTTCTAGACTTAGAGTCAGGGGACCTACTCAGGTTCAAGTATAAACCCTGTAACTTACCCTGTGAGCTCAGAAAAACTGCTCTTGGCTTCAGTTTCCTATTCTGTAAAATGAGGGATTTTGTATAGATGACCTCTAAGGTCCCTTCTAGTTCTTTATTCCAGGACTGAAGACTTTTCCAGCTCTAACTTTCATAAGATCACAAATAAAGAGTTGAAAGGGACATAGAAGCCATCTAATCTAGCCTGCTTATTTTATTTTATTTATTTATTTTTGGTTTTCAACATTCACTTTTATAAGATTTTGAGTTCTAAATTTCCCCCCCTCCCTCCCCAAAACAGCATGCAATCTGATATAGGCTATACCTGTACAGTCATATTAAACATATTTCCACATTAGCCATGTTGTGAAAGAAGAATCAGAGCAAAATGGGAAAACCATGAGAAAGAAAAAACAAAACAACAAAGAAAGAGAAAATACTATTCTTCAATCTGCGTTCAGATTCCATAGTTCTTTCTCTAGATGTGGATAGCATTTTCCATCATGAATCTTTTGAAATTGTCTTAGAACACTGCATTACTCAGAAGAGCTAAGTCTAATAAAGTTGGTCATTGCACAGTGTTGATATTACAGTGTACAATGTTCTCCTGGGTCTGCTCACTTCACTCAGTATCAGTTCATTCAAGTCTTTCCAGGTTTTTTCTGAAATCCACCTGCTCATCATTTCTTATGGAACAATAGTATTCTATTACATTCATATACCACAACTTGTTCAGTCATTCCCCAATTGATGGGCATCCCCTCAGTTTCCAATTCTTTGCCACCATGAAAAGAGTTGCTATAAGTATTTTTGTGTATTTTCCCTTTTTTATGATCTCTTTGTAACTCACTCATTTTAGAGAAGTGAGGCCTGGTGACTTGCCCGGAGATATGTAACTAAATCAGAGGTAGGATTTAGAATTTAGATGTTCATGACTATAAATGTAGTAGTCTATCTACTATGCCACAAAAGAGTTGTTAATATATATGTATGTATGCATCTATGTCTGTCTGTATGTATGTATGTATGTATGTATGTATAGATGTATATAGTATATGTATATGTATGGGTGTGTATCAGTGGAGAGGTTTTCCTATACCCAAGAAATCACAGGTTCAGACTAAGTAGGGGGAGGGCAGTGGTTGGAGGAAAATGACAAATAGTGTCATGGCTAAACCAATTTTGAGATTTTTGAATAAAATTAAAATGATGCAAATCAGTTTTTCTTTTATCTGTTGAAAAGTAAGCATATATTTTAATGTTCTCTAGGATAACGAGTTTTTCCCCAGGTGTCATGGGTTTGAGAGGAGATAGCATTTTTGATTAGTTGTTAATCTTTCTCTATTTGTTTTAGGTCTAGGAAAAAAACAATCCCAGACATATATATCTGTAACCTGGCTGTGGCTGATTTGGTCCATATAATTGGAATGCCTTTTCTTATTCATCAATGGGCCCGAGGAGGAGAGTGGGTATTTGGGAGTCTTCTGTGCACCATCATTACCTCACTGGACACCTGCAACCAATTTGCATGCAGTGCAATCATGACTGTAATGAGTTTGGACAGGTAGGCAGATGTGCTTTGAAATACCTCATTAATGGCTGAAAAATAAGGGAAACTTGAATTTGGCTTTACAAGTAGAACATTCAGCAGAGATTTTCAAATACAGGGCAAAACTGGTGTTAGTTTCTCAACAGTATGGCTGTTTTCTTTTTGCTCTTCACTGTAGTGTTAACTAATTGAGGGAGAAAACTTACCCCAGTTAAGAATTTTTTTTTCAGGTTTCATAATTGTATAATGTCATTTCATATTAATCTTTTTATTTAGTTTTTAAAAAAACTATTTTATTGATGTCTTTTGGTTTTATATCATATTAATTTCTTGGATTCTCATTTACTTCTCTTGTATTTTCTCCTGACAATTCTGTCTCTTCCTCCTCACAAGAGAACCAACTTTTGCCCACAGGGAACAGTGGGAGATGATGCAATGCCTAGAACACAGGTGGAAAAATAATTGGGCCTCTTCCTGAATCCTCAGCTACTCACATAGTCCTGCCCTAAGTGTAGCAGTGGAAAGAAGCAAGTAGGCCAGAAATCAAGAGAGAGAATCTGAAAAGCCCTTGGCAGTAAAGCTGAGCAAATGATTCTGTCAACTGTCTCTGGGTCTAAACATTGAAGCCGATCTGAGTTTCAAATGCAGCTGTTTATGAGCATATTTATAGGACCCTTGAGTCTCCCAGGGAAAAGATTATCTTTGGTCCTATAGACCAGAAGTGTCCAAAGAGCAGGCAAAACTCCAGAGTGAGGCTATAATCAGATTAAAATGTAATTGGAAAATGTTTAACAAAAGAAATAAAAATTTAATACAACATAGAGAATGTTAATTTGTGGGTTTCTAAGTCAATATGCATTAGCAAGGATCCATTTTTATTTGAGTTTGATACCACTGCTATAGACTTAAGGATATCATTAGGTCAGTAAAAGTGGTGCCACTTTACACTATTAGAAATTTATTCTACAGTAATCACTAGCAACCTACAGTCTTATTCCAGGGCATTTAACCTGGTGCACAATCAAAACAGTCACCTCAATCCTAACAGGGTCAGCCATTGCTCTAACCACATATATACATGCTAGGGACACATAGACAACACACAGGGACAACATGCCAGAAACCACTGAGAAATACCTTGTAGTCAAAGTCTGACTGGCTGTTCCCACAGAGAAGCAAAACAGCCTCAATAATAAACAAAATGTCAGGGCATCAGTGAATCCACCGGGCATTGTTCTGACTGATAACTTCAGAGGTGCTTCAAGTATTTTATGAGAATTGAATTGAATTATGAGTATCTTGGAATTTATCTTCCTGAGCATGTCCTTGAGGTGGGGAGGATGTGAGCACTTGTGCAGATGTATGACCTGGGAACCAGCAAGGTCAGCATGGGTCATTTACTTGAATGTTAAATCAAATCAACAAGTTTTTTATTAAGTGCCTGCTGTGTGCCACACACCAAAAGAAAAGTGAAAAATAATCCTTGCTGACAATCTGATGGGGAGAGGGGTAACCTGCAAACAACTCTGTACAAAGAAGATACTATCAGAAAAAAAAAACTGGAGCTAATCAACGGAGAGAAGACGCTAGAATGAAGAGGAATCTGGAAAGGCTTCTTGCAGAAGATTGGATTTTATCTGGGACCTGAAAGAAGACAGGGAAGCCAGAAGACAGAGATGAGGAAAGAAAACATTGCAGCCATGAGGAACAGCCAGGGAAAATACATGGAGTTGGAAGATGGAGTGTAATGCCTGAGAAATATCCAGAAGACAAGGTTACTGGATCATAGAGTACAAGCAGGTAAGTAAGGTGGAAACCAAAGACTACAAATATAGAGAGGAACCTGGCTTTAAAAACCAAACAGATGATTTTATATTGGTCCTACAGGTAATGGGAAGTTAACTGGGGGTGAGTAACATATTCAGATATTTTAACATCAAATATTTAATCTCTTATCAGGTTTCTGGAAAAAAATTCTCAAAATGTAAAATGTGCATCTTTCTCCATAATTTAATAGCCTACATATTAATTAGTACTCTCATGTCTACATCTAGTTTGTTCATTTGAGTATAGAGCCAACGCACCCGAAGTCATGAGTCCAAACCTCATGCAGGCCAGCTAGCTTTGTCTTGTTCCAAGGTTGCAAACTGTAACGCAGGCCTGCAAATTGTATTTTTAACCACAAAGTGGACAGGATGAGAGAATGTGGTGACTTCAGTGCATCCAGGGTGATATGCAGGGATTTTGCACTAATGGGATCCCCTAAATCCTTTTGGCTACATAAAAATATAAATAAATGTAGAGCAGGGCTCTTCTAGCTGAGATCCAGGAAGCCTCAAATAAACCAGTGTTTCCAAATAACTGAGGTTGGCTAGTGCCCTAAATGCTATCCACCACCACTATTAGCAAAATAGTTCTAGGTAATGAGGAATTAGTATCACCAATTTCTCAAATGAATGCTGGCAGTTCTTGAAGCCCAGAAGACCTGGGTTTGAATCCTACCTCATACATTACCTGTTTGTAAGCCTCATCTGTAAAATGGAGGTGCTGACTTCCCGAGGTGGTTATAAAGATCAAATAATATCGTTGCTGTTGTTCAGTCATTTCAGTAGTATCTGACTATCTGTGACCCCATTTGGGGTTTTCTTGGCAAAGATACTAGAGTGGTTTGCCATTTCCTTCTCCAGTTCACATTATAGACAAGGAACTGAGGCAAACAGGGTTTAAGTGACTTGCCCAGAGAGTCACAAAGCTAGTAAGTGTCTGAGGCCAGATTTGAACTCACGAAGATGAGTCTTCCTGACTCCAGGCCTACCACTATCTACTATGCCACCTAGATGCTTCTACAAATAATATATTAAAATGTAATTCATGTAAAGTGCTTCAGAGACACTGAAGTGCTACATAAATCCATTGACATCATCATTATTTAAGAACACCTTGTTATTACCAGGGACAGAGAGGAAGGAAAGTGTTAACCTGTCTTAGGAATGAAAATTTGTCTCCCTCCTGAAAACCTCTTTAATAACACCTGCTTGGCCCAAGTAGTCTCTTCCTTTTCCTATTGTAGGATTCTTACCTCTGGGTTCAACCCAAGGAAAGTCTGACTTCTATAGGAAGGGATTGAGATCTTTCTCTTGTATTCTCTGGCTTTTTCACCCCCTCCTTGGAGCCCAGGGAAAAATCTCTTGAAGTTTATATTTCACTCATACCTAGGGTCTCCCCAGAGGAATTTATCAAACTGGTTTCTTTTTAAACCCAAATTGTTTAAGGTTAAACAGTGAGTGTACGGAATGTAAATTCTCATAGCTTAAGGGTTCTCAGCTTTTTTTGGTCTCCCATACTCCTTGGTTTGCAGTAAACCTTCTTCCTGTTACCCCTGTCCAATATGAAAGAAAATAATTTATAATGTTCATGATGTCCATGCACACAAGAAATAAAATAAAGAGATTAATTTTTCTTCTCTGAGAATACATTGAAAATTTTGTAATTTCTCAAGCCACTTGTACCCCAGGTTGCAAAGGGATCCCTGTTGATCAAAGGATCACAGATTTTGAGCTGGTAAGACTTTAGAGTCCAGTGAGTCCAACCCCCTCACTTGACAAATGAAGAACACTGAGCCTGAGAATGATTAAGTTATTTGTTCATGATCACACATCTAGTAAGTGTTTGAAGCAGAATTTAAACCCATAACTTCCTGACTCCATGTCTATTATTTTATTCCATATACTAGGGATTCTTAACCTTTTTGTATCATGGACTCCTTTGGTAGTCTGGCAGAGTCTATGGCCCTTTTCTCAGAATCATGTTTTTAAAGGCATAAAATAAAACATGTAGAATTATAAAAGAAACCAGTTATATTGAAATGTGGCTATCAAAATTCACAAACCCAAGTTAAAAACCCCTACCCTCTAACATGCTGCCAAATTTCTCAAAAAAATATAAAGAAATATCTATGCTCTCCTGTATTTTGGAAAGAAAATAGTGGTTTCTATGTAAATTACTAAGCTCTTGATGGTTGGCTTTTATAGCTTCAGTAATGTGATCAGTAAATCTTTTCAATTGTATATTTAAACCACTTTGATGGCTGTCAGTTTAATGGATGATAAAACTCAAGTGTTTCAAGTAGTTCTTTAATTTTTCTTTTCATGATTAAGGACAAGCCCATGGCTGCCAATGTGAAATATTTCAATAATAAGCAGAAGCCACTGTACTGTAGCATAGCTCCCAAAGTTTTAACATCCCAATTTTCATCTTATTTGCCTTCAGGACATTTGGAAGGAAAAACAAAATGTGTAGCCAGGCTTTTCAGCAAGGGCAGCTTTTGTGAATAAGTTATCTGGAACATCTGAAGCCATAGTCTAGGGCAAACATTCTTTGGAACAAGGCTCCCAAACCAACTGATTGCCACTGACAGATCTCAGAGCCCAGACTAATTGATTATAGCACTTGCATCTGTTTCCCCTTGATGCTGTGGCATTTCCAACAGGGTGATGAGCTACATCAAAATCTGACAATGTTCTTCTCTCCCTACACTAACAGTCAGACATATATTTGTCTAACAGAATAAGAATATGCAATACTACTTACCTACTTCCTTTAATCAAAGGCCTATACTAAGGAGGTAGTGTGATACATTAGACACAGCACTGGACTTGTTAGAGGATCCTGAGTATAAGTCCCACTTATGTCACTTACGACACACGTGACCTTGGGCCTCTTTTTCCTTATTTTTAAAATGAAGGAGTTGGACTAAATATCCTGTAAGGTCAATCAACCAATTAAGAAGCATTTATTACATACCTACTCTGTGTTAGGCATTGTGCTGCTAGGTGATACACAAAGTTCCTGTCCGCATGAAATTTATATTTTAATAAGAGAGACAACATATACAAATGTAAATGTATATGTATGTACATGTTGTCTCTCTTATGTACATATATACATATGTACATATATATGTACATATATACATATACATAATGTATATGAGGTATTTTCTTATTTGTATGTTTTTATTTATTGAAAGAGGAAGAAAATAAAGTGTGTGAGACACTGACAAAAGCAGCCCTTCAGAGAAAAAAGTGCTTACTGAAGGAAAGATGGCCAAAATGTCTTTTTTTTTCCAGCAGCTCATTTATATATACTGTTGTTCAGACTTTGAGGTTTATAGTGGGAAACTCAGATGACCATAACTTTTTGGTAATTATAGGACAATTCTAGATTGCCTATCCATGATGTGTATTATAGAAATGTGAATTTCATCATAAGGTAGAGAGGAGTCATATTATACCAACTAATCCTGCTTTGGGGCAAGAGTTGGTTAGCAACTAGAGTAAGTTACCAAAGACAGAAGCAAAGCACAAGAGCAACATAGGAACAGAACTAAGGAGAAGCAGAAGCTAAGCAGAAAGTGAAAGAGAAAAGCGCAATTGCTTAAATAGGGGCAGGGAACCCGTGACCTCGAGGCCAGATGTGGCCTTCTAGGTCCTTGGGTATGGCCTTTTCACTGAGTCCAAGTTTTACAGAACAATTCTTTTATTTAGGGGATTTGTTCTATGAAGTTTGGATTCAGTCAAAGGGCCACACCTGAGGACCTAGAGGACCATGTGTGGCCTCGAGGTAGAAGGTTCTCCACTCCTGGTTAGAGCTAAGTCCTGTTGAGTGGAAGAAGATAGCCTCTACACCTGCTGGGAAGTGATTTGATTGGAGGAAAGCTCTGCTACTCTTAAAAGCTAAGCAGAGGAGAGGAAAATCCTCTTCTGTTTAATAACGCTGCCTGGGGAAGGGAAAGGCCAGCCTGAATTGCCCTTTACTCCTACTTACAGTTTGGAAGGTGGAAAACCTCTCAGATGTTTGTCTGCTTTACTGATTACTGCCAATTTCAGCCTGACAGAGGAAAACCTCTTCCAAGCTTTAGTGAGCAGACATAAATAGGTCTGTGGATTCCAGATTTGGGGAAGTTGTTTTTTTGAGAAAACTAGTACTCCTTCAGGGTATAGCCAAGGGAACAGATCTTAGTAGCCCTGAAGACCTCAGATTTAAGGTTTCTGCTTTCATTAAAAGAGCTTAAAACTGCTGTACTGGCTTAAGAGTACTAGTCATTGGAGAAGTGACTCTACACCAGAAAGATGGAGAAGAGACCCAGAAGAGAAATAGCTATGCCCAGCATTTGACATGTAGTACAGACTGTTTCCTATCAAGGACATCAAGGATAGCAGTTCAGAATTAAGTTGTCCTGGGAATATGAATTTCTCTACTCATATGCCTTCATTCTAGGTTTTCTATAAATTTTTGCTCACTCTCCCCAGTGGACACTATGTGAATTGGTAGAAGAATGTGAACTAGGTTTGTAAGTAGACTATTATGTTATGATTGTTCTTATTTTTTCATTCTTGTTTAGTAAATGCATTATGATTAAGACTTAAAAGTATCATGCTGGTTGATTTATTTAAATGGGAAGTATACCAATGGGGGCTCAGGAGTTACAGTTGTATAGTAAATATATGTCTTCTATATCAAAACCTGAAAGCTAATTATTATGTTAAGTCTTACCCTCTGGAACCACCATCACCCCCAGCTCTTTTACCAGGGTGAATAAGCCATCTCAGAAAGAGATAGCGCTCAAGAAAAGAAGTACCACTTGCCATGCCCATACTACATATACAGAATGAATGCAAGGTATTTGGGTGAGGACGGATACTAGAAGATAGGAAAATATGGAACATCTTCATATAAAATTGGCACTTGAGATAAGTTTTAAAGTAAACTAGGGAATCTAAAGATGCAAATGAAGAGGGTATATTCCAGGCATGAAGAACAGTCAGTGAAAATGTATATAGATAGGAGAAAGAGTCGGTATGTACAGAACAGTAAGCACAACAGTAAGGTTATTCCAGAGAGCACATAGAGGGGATTAATGTGTTGTGAAGAGTTTTAAATAACAAACATAGAAGTTTGTTATTTGATTTTGTTATTTGTATTTGATCCAAGAGGTTATAAGAAACTACCTGAGTTTATTTGGTGGCAGGAAGCAGGCAGGGCAGGAGGAAGCAGAGCAAATGAATTTAGAAAAATCGTTTTGGCAACTATGTGGAGTAGACAGATACTCAAGGTCTAAACCTCAATCTCTGATCCTATGAAGTCACCACTTTAGTTACAAGATTTATTTTTAGGATCAAACTATTAAGTTGACTAGAAGTAAGACTGAGGGATATTGGATAAGAAAAACCTTCCTATGCAACTTTGGATTCCTAAAACTAGTATCACTATTTGGGAGTTCATTAATTCCCAAAGCCCCACACCCCCACATGAAGTCCTACTTGCTTTAGATATTATCAGAGGCAAAATGCATCAGCCTACATGTTTGCTTTGGCAATCATATCAGTCTCTCAGAATCTCTCTCTCTCTCTCTCTCTCTGTCTCTCTCTCTCTGTGTCTCTGTCTTTCTGTCTCTTGCTCTCTCTCTGTCTCTTGCTCTCTGTCTCTCGCTGTCTCTCGCTGTCTCTCGCTGTCTCTCTGTCTCTCTCTGTCTCTCTCTCTGTCTCTCTCTCTCTCTCTCTCTCTCTCTCTCTCTCTCTCCCCACCCCCACCCATGGGAAACACCTTGTTGAAGGAGATTTCTTGGAGACTAGGTTTTATATCACCAAATCAAATGTATTTTAAAATTTTTTTTAAATAATCAACAAACAATAGACACAGTGAGATTTTGCATTCTCTATTCTTCTCATTTAGTTGTGTTGCTCTGAAAATATGGTCTGATGTGGGAAATCATCTGCAAAAGCCTTTTTGTTTCTTTTGCATATGATCTTCAAAGAGATCCTCTATATATTTGCAAAAGAGTCTTTAAAATCTTTTAGAGATAAAGAAAGTAAATGTATTACTCACTAGTTGATACTTTTCAGTTCCCTTTTTTCAAATTTTCTCATTATCTTTTCTATTATTTTGGACTCTTCCTCCTCCCTTTGATATATTTCAACAATCTATCCCAAAGTGTCTTTAAGACTGTCTCAAAGAAAAAAAGACTGTCTCAACTCCAGCATGGATTTTCTTCTGCATGTATCTCATCAGAAGCAGCCGTCCTTTCCAAACTCATATTCTTAAGAGTACATTACCACTTCTTTATATAGCACATATGGTACTGAGGTATTAGAGTACAAATCTGTTGGTTACTTTTTCATCGATGATGAAAATAGATTGCTATAGAAATTCTGGCAAATCTGGTACATTTTGAATCTATTTGTTTTCCTACTTCCAATTGTATCTATAAATATTGTTAGTTTTATCTGAGTTAATTATGTCATATGACTAGTTTTTTGTAGACATATTTCCCCCTCCCTCTAATTGACATTGTATTTGGCTGTCGTGTGTCTTTGTTGGCAAGGAGATCATGTGCTTGCTAGTTGAAGTGATTTCTACACTATTTTGCCCTCCACAAACTGTTCGACTTCTCTAAGCTGCAATTATCTACATAGTGACACATCTCAAAAATTAGTTATCCAAAAGAGGGGAGGAAGTGGATCCCCCCTCACTAGTTGTACTCAAGCAAGGGATAAGTGCTATGAATCAAGCTTGTTGTAGAGATTTTTTTCCAGGTATAGGAAAAACTCAATGGTCCCTAAAGGCTTCTTCCAACCCTAAAATTCTATGATTCTATGAAAAAAGGAACTGATAAAGTTAAACATAACCGTTCATTCTTCCATGGCTTTTCCAATACCCTTCTCAAAAAAAAAAAACTGCAACTGTCTCCACCAATTTAATTGTGCTGAGAAGTGAATCCTCTTAAATACATAGCAGGGACACTTCCTCCAGAAGGAAATCTCTGATTAGAATCTAACTTTTAGAGAATATCTATGAAGGATAACATTGTAAAGGTAAAGTTCAGTCTAAAGATTTTTTTTTTATCATTATCAATCTTATTTGTAGTGGCATTTATTTGTTTGAGTGGTTTGTTCAGCCCTCCAGACTGAAAAGGTGTTTTCTCTAAAGGTGCAGTCCATCTTTCAAAAAGTATTACTTTCCTTCACCATGACAGAGTTGCACTTCAGGGAGAATAATAATACTAATAATTTACTCTTGTCATGAACCTTTCATCCTTAGAGCTCAGAGCTTTTATTGATTGTTCACAAACCCTTCTCAACTGATTTTACAGGTACTTGGCTCTCGTCCAGCCATTTAGGCTTACCACTTTGAGAACAAGGTCGAAGACCATCCGCGTCAATTTGTGCCTTTGGGTAGCTTCATTTACTCTGATGTTGCCTGTCTGGATCTACTCAAAAGTCATCAAATTCAAAGATGGTTTTGAAAGTTGTGCTTTTGATTTAGCATCTCCTGATGATGTGCTTTGGTAAGTTGTTAAAACTTAGAGAAAATAAAGTTGAATTAAGTTGTCAAGTACTTCATCCCACTTGTCGGTGAGTGAGCAGCATTGGAGAGCATCCTCTCAAGGTACTCAGCTCACTGCTCTCATCTCCTTGCTTTCCACAATCAATGGATACTTTCATTTTGGGTGGAGGAGGGCCTGCACATTTGGTAACCTTTATAAAAACAGCCTGAATTTAAGATGGTACCAAAATGATTTAGAATATACTAAAATGTTTGGTTAAAAGCAACACATTAGATTAGCTGGACTGGCATGCAGCAGTCAAGATCAGGAGAGCACTAGTGGGCTGCTTTTATTCTAAGTCTATATCTAGATAACTCTGACTCCAGACTGGGGTGCAATTTCTACCTCTGAAATATGGGACCATTTTTGTTGTTGTTATTCAGCCATTTCAGTTATATCTGACTCTTAGTGAGCCTACTTGGGGTTTTCTTGGCAAAGATATTAGAGTGGTTTGGCATTTCCTTCTCCAGCTCATTTTACAAGTGAGGAACTGAGGCAAACACGGTTGAATGACTTGCCCAGGGTCACACAACTAGTAAGTGTCTTTGGCCAAATTTGAACTCATGAAGATGAGTCTTCCTGACTTCAGGCCTGGCATTTTGTCCAATGTGCTACCTAGCTGTATGTATGACTATTAGTTATCCATAAATAGCTGTCAACTGTCTCCCACCATCTGTAAAATGAGAGTGGGAATAGATGACCTTTAACATCCTTTCCAGTTCTAAATTTATGCTCTTTTCAGCTATGTGAAAAGTAATAATCAAGATAACCAGGTAGGGTTTTATTTATCTGTGGAACACAGAATAAACCACTTGGCTGATTTTTTTCCCCACTTGATCAAAGTAGTTTTAACTGAATTCACCAACATAATCACTTATTTTAGAATTAGACAGACAAAGACAGACAGTGGCTGAGTCCTAAATTCTGCAATGGCAGCAATGGCCACAAACAAACAAATCTGCATAGTTGTGGTATATGAAAAGGCCACTCACTTATTTCTCCCTTAATCCCAGTTACACACAGAGATTATAATTCCCAAAGGATAATTTCTAAAAATTCCTAAAAGATAGCAGGGACAAGAGAAATTTAAAAATTTAGGTCATGAGCTTAATAAAAGGAAGAAATGAGAATGGAAATGGAGGCATTTTGTTCTGGTAGCCACCTCTGCTTCTGTTCCTAGCTGCTCCTTTCACTCTGTCATTAGGACCTTATATCATGACTTGATCTCAGGAGAAGGTGAAAACTTGTCATTTACAGGCTTGTCCCTCAATATGATGCAACCATTTCCCCCCTATAATCAATCAAGCAATAAACATTAAATGTCTTCTATTTGCCGGTACTGTGCTAAACGCTGGGGATAGAAAAGGAGGCAATCAGGGAACAGATCTGCCAGAGGGGACAGTCAGTTGATATCGTTGTTTGGTTGGTTGTTCAGTGGTATCTGACTTTATGACCCTGTGGACTATGCTGTCCATGGAGTTTCCTTGGAAAATATACTGGAGTGGCTTGCTATTTCCTTCTCCAGTGGGTTAAGGCAAACAGAGGTTAAGTGACTTACTCAAGGTCACACAGCTAGTGTCTGAGGATGGATTTGAACTCAGGTCTTGCTGGCTCCAGGCCAAGTGCTCATCCACTGAGCCATTTAGTTGCCTCATATGTTGGTACATATGAAGAAAAGTGTCCCTCCTTACTCTGGAGAAATGTGAAGTAATCTTAACTGAACTGACAGCAAAAATCACCCTAAGTAATTAGCTCCTTTTCACTCTATGTATCTCCAGTTGGACCACTCTCATCACTGAAGAGGTGCAGAGAGAGAGCAAACACCTGTATTGTAAAGGGATTCTTTACCAAGTCCATAGATAGATTTCAGGTGGTCCATAAACTTGAATGGGGAAAAAAAATCACATCTTTACTGTAACAAAACTCTGGTTTCTTTTGCAATTCTATGTCTTATATTTTATGCATTTAAAAACGTTTTATAAAGGGGTCAGCAGGCTGCCAAAGAAGTCCAAGACCTACAAAAGGTTAAGGACCCCTGTTCATCTTTTCTCAACATCTACATGTCCATGCACTGATACTTGAAAGATATCCCGGGATCTGTTCACATAGAAACACACATGAAGCCTCTTAGACAATCCATTCATATTTTTCCCGAGTCTGAAGAAACGTTTTAATGTGCTATTAACTATTGAGTAAATTATCAGTCTGATGTCACAGTGTGATATTCATTCTCCTTATTTCCTTTTTCTTTACAGGTACACACTTTATTTGACTATAACAACATTTTTTTTCCCTTTGCCCTTGATTTTGGTGTGCTATATTTTAATTTTATGTTACACCTGGGAGATGTACCAGCAAAACAAGAAAGCAGGATGGTAAGAATCTACTTCATTATCTTTTTTGGTTAATGAATCTTCATGTATCCTAATAGACCTGCAACGTAGCTACATAAATATCATTTTAAATGAGTGTGTATGTTCATGTATAATATGTATATGGATGTGAATATATGTATTACATGCTTGTATATGCAAGGAGGGAAAAGAGAGAGAGAGAGAGAGAGAGAGAGAGAGAGAGAGACAGAGAGAGAAGGAGGGGTGGAAGGAGGAAGAGGTAGTGTATAGTGAATAGAGAGCTGACCTGGAAGCTAAGAAGACCTGTGTTCCAGTCCTGCTGCTGATACATACTGGTTGTATGACCTTGAACAAGTCACTTAATTTCTCACTGCTTTCTAGGAAACCCTCCAAGACTGTAAATTATATATTGCAGAGAAGTTGCCAACCTGCATTGATAGAGGAAATTTGCTCACCCAGCAAGTCCTCTCATTCTCTCTCTCTTTCACTCTCTACACACAAACACACACACACACATAAACACACAACACACACACACACACACACACACACACACAAATGTTCCAGAAGACAGTACCATTTCAAACAATTAAAGCTTAAAACTTCTAATAGCTTAAAACTGCACTAAGACTTTTAGGATCTGCAACCAGATGGGTTTGTATGTATGTACGTGTATGTATATATATGTGTGTATATATACATATATATATACACACACACACACATATACACTTATATATGTATATGTGCCATAAAAGTCTCATATATCATATATGTATGTGCCTATGTATATTTATACAATACCATACTGCCATGTATGTATGTATGTGTATGTGAACGTGCATATGTATATGTATGTATACACCTATATGGCAGTATGGTGTATTAGCTAAAACAGTAGCCTCAGTCAGAAAGATGCAATATTTTTAAACTCTCATCTCCAAGTCATAGACCATTGCTATCAAGAGTAGTTATCAGTAAGATCTACTTGGGGAAATTTTCAAATGAGTATCCAAATGCAGAGCAATAACTAAGAGTGTTTTCACCTGGGGCAAAATCATTTGCGGAAGCAGGGGAGGTAGTCAGTAGTGGCACTGACAATATGACTAAGACTGCAGTTACTGCAAGGAAGGGAATGATCCATCTCTTCCTCCTGAAGGAGTTGAGAGGAAAAGTGGGTCTCAAGAAAAGGGCACCCCAGCCAAGAGGTAGGGAGGGCATGGCCTGGGAGTAGTTTTGCTAGCTGCAGCATGGAAAGACCATTAGGTGAGGGATTGGGATAGTAGTAACCTTGGGGGAAAAGCATGCCTTCCAGGTGACAGAACATGCCCCCACGCTAAAATATTGGCATCTTGGGAGAAAGCTCCATTTGGCCCATGCTACTTATGGCTCTGTCAAAATATGAATCTTAATATTGAGTATCTAATAGTGAATTCATATTATATGCTTGGTAAGTTTTTTGAAGATGTACATTCCACTGAAAAACCATTAGAAGACATACTGAAATTTCAAAGAAATCATTTTCTTCTCATTTCCTGTTACCCTGGTCTATATGTTCACTTGTCTCTTGATGTATCCTTTGCAGTTGTAACCCTAACATTCCCAGGAAAAGAGTTCTGAAGTTGACAAGAATGGTTCTGGTGCTGGTGGGGGTGTTTGTCCTGAGTGCCACACCTTATCACGTGATCCAGCTAGTAAACCTGCAGATGGCACAGCCAACACTGACTTTCTATGTGAGCTATTACCTCGCTATCTGCCTCAGCTATGCCAGCAGTGGAATCAACCCCTTTCTCTACATCCTGCTGAGTGGCAATTTCCAGAAACGCCTGACTCGGTGTATCCGTGTCCAAAGGAAGACAACTGAGAGGGAAATAAACAATATTGAAAACACACTGAAATCAAGCTCTTAGTGGGTGACCCTGGCTCACTGAGGGAATTGAAATGCATATTGGCCTAGATAAGGCTCAATTCTGGAGGTATATAGAGTGGGCCCAATAGAATGTAGTAGTAACCTTATTCTTGTGCAAGTATGACACAATGTCATAAGTCATTAATGAAACAGGTCAAATGTAATGAGTTCAATGTGTTCATTGTAGATAAGATTTTGTTCTCTATTTGGAGGCAGGAGTTACATTAAGATGCCTGGAGTTTCCAGTAGTTTGTGTTTGTTATTAGCAACCTGTAACACCACACCACCACAGATTGCCAACTATCTAAGTCACCCGGCCACATAGCCTTCTGCACTATAGCCTCCCCATAGCTGCCCTCAAGGTCCTTGCCATGGACTGCCTTTCAATGAGGTCCTATTAGTACTTAAGTATCTGAGCCCCTTTTAAGAAGGGACCTTATACTCATTTCCTCACTGTATTACCTAGTGTGTAGTGAGGCCCCAGGGTGCTTTGGCTTCTTCTGCTCTTTTTTTTTTCTTTAGTATTAAGACAAAAACTAACAAAACAAAGTTGAATTATCTCCACTATGTGCTTCTGAGTCTAGCTTAAAAGTCTAGCGTTGAAATCTCTAAGTCTAGAACCTAGAGATTCTAGTGTTTTAAGACTTTAAGACCTAATACAAGAGGTTACAAGTATATTTTGTAGTTTAATAACTTGCTATTGTTTATTCTCATTGTTTTTTGTTGTTGTTCTTGTACTTTCAATCCATGGGAAATGAGTAGCGCACTGTAGTGTTTCCCTCAGATTGTTAACCCAACACCCAACATATAGTCTTCATATTAAGGAGCATGACTATATAAACAGAGTCAAAGGTATATCACTTTCAAATCACAGGCATTCCTTACAGACCATTTCTTCTCTTACTGTACATATATATGTACACATATACACATATATGTAAGTATGCATATGCATATGTATATGTATGTATATATATGTAGTGCATATGTGTATAAATTGAAGAAAATATTAATGTTTTTTAGAGCAGAAAGTACTCCTTGTTTCAAGTGGCAAATGAAACCTATAAACTAACCTCCATTATTGAAACATATAAATGATTTGCATCACTGACAATTGGATCTAATCTTTAATCAGCCTTTCAGAAAAGATTCTAATAAGCCACCTTCCCCTTGGGGTTCAGATTCTCTCTGGTGAATCAAATCTGTAAAACATTGAATTCAGACAGTACTTGAAAGACACTGTACTTAGAACTGGAGCTTGATGAAATAGAAAACCATTTAAAATGTTTTTCAGGCTTTTTTTTTCCTTTTGCAATATCTAATTGTAGGTATGCATGGTGCCAACAAAGTGGATGCAAGCACCTAAATTGAACTACACTCCCATTCCTTTTAGCACTGTAGCTACCATAGTAAAATGTATACTTGCCTCAAATACCTAAATCTTTCCCTTTAAAGGCTGGTTAAATTCCTTGGGGTGTAGATCTAGGAACCTTCATTCTTAACCTCTCTGAGTATGGTTGTTACCGCTCAAGCACCGAAATCTCTAAGGCCTAATACAAGCAATCACATTTATATTTTGTAATTTAATAACTCACCATTGTTTATTGTTGTCTTTTTTAAATACTGGCACTAAATAATCTGGTGTTTTATAAAAATTTTCAAATCTGCTTGGAGGCTATTGACAAATGGATTTTTTTCTAGCAATATTTTCAATTACCTTAAAATAATTGCAAACATCAAACATGCAATAATAATTAATACATTGAGGAAAAAGTCCCTTCCCTCTGCCTACAAGTTGTACATTAATACAGTAGCTAATGAAGCATGAATGAAGCTGGTGACTTTTTGGTACCTTTGTATATTTTTTTCTATTGCTAAGCACATTTGTATGCAAACAAGCAAGGATGATAAAGCTTCTTGATGTAATATATATTTCTCACCATAACACATTTATGCATAATTCTAAATAAATGTAATGACTATGTCTATATGTTGATTAACATATCAATATTGCATTATTCACTTTTCTATAGGAGTTTAAGGTACACAGGATGCTTTCCCCATATCAGCCCTGTTAGAGTAACTTTATTAATGCCATTTTACAATTGAGAGGGTGAATGATTTACCCAAGGTGACACAGTTCATAAATATCAGAATTAGGGTTCAAACCCAGTTCTCTTGACTTGAAAGCTCTTTCAAGCTTTCACACCAGGCTGCCTCTTTCTACTAGTTATCTTATGAGCTCCTGCTAGTATTCCTCCTTCATGTACATTCAGATCTAGTTGAGTCGCTTCAAGTTTGGGGTATTGGTTTTGCTAGGACTTTCATAAAAATCATCTCAGAAGTAATCTTACAACTATGTGAAAATTGCTTATTACTGTGGCTCCGATTTGCTGTTTTCACTTTTGAATTTATCTTGTCTAACCCATTCCAAAATTTAATTTGATTAGCTCAGTTGTGCATATCACAGCTTGGTCCTGTGTATATCACAGCCTGGTCAGGACAAGCCCCTTTGAGTACCAGGAGTAGTAGAAATGTATGAGCCATAGCAGGATATATCAGTCTCAATTAGCTTCTACTGTTTTGCTTGACCCTGATCACCTTCACAGACTTTATCTTCTCTGATCTTTCTCTCTCTTTTTTCCTTCTTCATTCTCTCCTTTATTCTGTTAGGTCAACTTCTTCATGTTCTTCTCATAGCCCTCCATTGCTCTTCTGAATTCCTGGGTTATATGTTCTTCCTTCATCTTTTTTTCATGTTCTTTTAAAATCTGAGCTCATCAGAGAGCTTGCTGTGCAGTCACATACGTTTCTTTCCCATTTGGGATTATTCATGATGTATTGTAAGAATTTTATTTTTTTCTAAGTCATATTCCTCTTGGGACATGGTCCCTTCGATTGTTTTTATTTACATGATCATATTTTTTATCTTAATTTTTTGATAAACTTCTTTACTAAAGTCATGGAGTTACATCTGACTATGAACAGCATTTCCCTTCTTTCAATAATACAAATTCCAGGATAAAAGTCTTCCTGCTTCCTGCAGATTCTACATCACCATCTAGTTCTTTGTTATCAGAATTGTTTCCAAAGTAGTACTTACTCTCGTTGCTTCATTAACCTACTGAGAAATGAAATTCTTACTAAGGTCAATCAAGAGTTTAACAGATGCTCTGCTTTTAGCAGATTGAGACTTTCAGCGGATGTCTGGATGGTTGAAGTCTTCCAGAACTAATATAATTTACTTCTCTAACAGAGTTTATAATTTGTTCTGGGAGAGCATCAGCCTAGAATAGTGGAAAGTATTCTGGATGGGGAACTAGGAGACAGGTTCTAGCCCCAGCTCTGCCACTAATAAGCTATGTAACATCAGGAAAATCACTTCCCTTTTCTAAGCTTCAGTTTTCTCATCTGCAAAATGAAAACATTGAATTAGATGATTTCTAAGTCCCCTTCAAACTGTAGCATTCAATTTTATGAATTTCCATAACTTCTATTTAGTTTAGCAGACACCATTTGCCTGCATTGCATTAGGCACCATGAGTGAAATAGATGTTTAACATGGTGCTCACCCAACAAAGATCTTACAATCTGGTTGGAAAAAAACAAAGCTATCGAACAGGAAGTAACTGCTGACCAATACAGGACAGTATATGATTGAGGGCTAAATTCTGTGGTAGATTTGCTTTGCCTCCACGGCAAAGGATACTTTCACAGTGTGAAGTCTAGGGCTGGAATGAGCCTCCAGGGTAAAGAGGTCTCTGGGCATTGTAGAGAAAGTTTGGGAAGGGAGATTTAGGACAATAATTTTACAAATTGATACAGGTAAGCATAGGGGCAGGTAGGTGCCCCAGTGGGTAGATTTCCAGGCCTGGAATCAGGAAGTCTCATTTCCTGAGTTCAAATCTGACCTCAGACATTTGCTAGCTGTGTGACCCTGGACAAATCATATAACACTGCTTGCCTCGGTTTCCTCATCTGTAAAATGCACTAGAGAAGGAAGTGGCAAACCATTACAGAATCTGTACTAAACAAAAACCAAATGGGGTAATGAAGAGCCAGACACGATTGAAAAACAACTTAACAACAGCAGGTAAAACACCCAGAAGCCAGGGCGACCGACAAACAAACAACAATAAAAACCCTGTCGTTTGCATTTTAAGCAGATTTTGCTGAAGTTTATTTTCTTTGCTTGGAACCAGGTCTTTTACAACCTTCAAGACTCTTCTTCGCATGGAACCAGGTCTTTTACAACCTTCAAGACTCTTCTTTTGAATGTAGTGCCATTTTTGGATTGAGGAAGACCTGAGTTTGAATTCCACCCTTGCCACTTACTAGCTGTGCGACATTGGGCTAGTCATGTAAGTTTTTCATTTCCTTATCAGAAAATGAGGAGGTCTGACTCAGTGATCTCTAAAGTCCATTCTAGCTCTAGATCTCTTATTATATGAGCTTCCAGGAAGCCTTTCCAGACCGTTCTGGAGTCTAGTGATCTCTCCCTTCCTCCATCCTGACAGCCCTAGTCTCTACATTGTACAATTATCATATACTCTGGAAGCTCTTGAACTTTTGGATTTATTGCATGCTCATTTAAATCTTGTGTGTAACTTTTTCTGTGCTTATGCCTCATCTCCCCAGTTACATTAAAAGCTCCTGGAGAATAGTGACTCTTGTATTCAACCATGCATCTCACACTGCACCTTGCACATAGTTGGTGCTCAATAAATATTTGTCCTCTTTGCCTTATATTTCCCACACACACACAGGTAGAACTACATTATAAATGGTTTATTAAGATTTTACACTTCCTTTATACCTTTCATTTGAGGACTTTATAGCACTTTTACAAACTGTAAGCAGACACATCTATTTGGAAAGCATAAAGACATGGATCATTTCCTATGATTTAAAAACAGGCATCCCAGAGGTACAGAACAACATTTTGACTGAAAATCTTCAATGTCATTGTAATCACTGAATGGAAAGGTTTTGACACTCCATTTAGAACATTCTGCCTGAACAGTTCCAAGATATCCAGCTGAGAGAATACTTATTTCAGTTTCTCTGCTTCTTGTAGCTTGTGGTGGTGTTATGAAATACATGAATAACCTCCCTGAGTAAATGATGTCTCCACCTCCATTTAAAGTTATTAGCTTAGGTAACGGGCTACTTTTCCGAAGGGTAAGAAATTTACTACCTTCTAAATGATGAGACAGAAATCTGCAGGGACAGAGACAACCATTATTCAAGGTGAGACGTTTGCCTCAAAGATGCAATGGTTGAAATTCAGAACTACCTAAAAGCTCTATCAATAAATAATGTAAAATGGATGGAAAACAAGCTTCCCAGTTCTGCTGCCTGGTTTCTTCTCTCTCTATTAAAAGCTGCCCTTGGGGTCATGGGATCATTGATTTAGGGTTAGAAAGGGCCTTAGAGGCCTTCTAAGTCCAACACTCTCATTTTACAGATGAAGAAACTGAGGCCTAAAGAGGTTAAATGATTTTTCTGAGACCACATAGCTAGTAAATGGGAGAATCAGGCTTCAAAATCAGGTTTTCTGACTCTAAATATAGCACACTTTTCACTGAAATTATATAAAATTTATTCACACTAAAGTGTAAATGACACGCCCAAAATTGCTATCTTTCCCAAGGAAATTTGCATTTCAACAGGGATAAGATTCTTAAGTTAAAGTAAGAAAGTTTCCATTGGTTTGCTTGGGCAGCCTTCTTAATTTCAGGCATTGGGGAACAAGAGGAGGTATTCCCATTGTGAAAGAGTGCCCTCTCTTTACTTCTGAAATATATCACCTCAGCACTCACCTGGCCTATCTATAGGACAGAGCAACCAGTCCTTTTGGTGGTAGCCAACAATATGATACCCTCTAATGTGTCCGTAACAGTAAATCAACCAACATTTGATTTCTGTCAGGAGTAGCCTGGCCTTCACATCATGAGCCTCTGTTAATGTT